GAGAACAGAGGTGTCTTCCTTCGAATCGCCCTATGTCCCTGCAAGAAAAAGGTCGAATGTGTATTTCCTCGGATAGAGGACTGATTATCGCCATTTCTTCTAAGTGAAGGAATTTGACGTCCTTATTATCTTATTTTGAAATTCTTTTGAATTATGACGCTCCTCTCCAACAGTGCGACAACCTTGAAAGGACCAGTAGCCCACGAAGGTGGATTCATTTGACGATAAATGGTCTTCTACCCGCAACTGTTCCTATCAGAGCACTTTTTAGCGCTTGAGCGCAGTAAGCTTCAAGCCGCATAATCAATGATTGACATGTGAGAACAAGGTAATCACATTGACATGTGAGAACAAGGTAATCGCAACATGGTATGAATTGGACTGACGTTTTTATATGGTTGTTGTCATGCACTAACAAGTCACATCCAAGTTAAAACTTGTATGTGATAGAGATATCATGGCAGTATATAAAGAGCCGGCAGGAGGGCTGGCCATCAGTTCCTCGAAATGGCTTTGTCGATCGAACCTGCTGCAGCTCAGATGCCGGCCGGTGGTGGCAAATCAGCGCATACGCTTGCGAATGCTGGCGAGTCGAAGCTGATCTTCAAGGTGAAGTGCTCGAACAACAACGACTACAGATTGAAGCCTGTATTTGGTTTTGTCGACGCATCAGGGAATTTGCCGCTTGAGATTACACGAACGGTAAGAGAGTGTTGTTTACAACTTCTAAAATTTCAAGTCATTATTAGGTTTAACTTTAGGGTTTGAACGTAATGCACAAAAAAGTTAAGACGAGTTATAGATGAACGAACTATAATTACTACTTAGAAAATTTGGAATAAAGCGACTTTTCTGTGCTTACACGCTGAGCGTGGTACGATTTCTTGGAGCATAACTTTGTGGTTCACTGGGTTCCTCTGACTGACCAGGTCCATCCAATCCAGTGGATGTCCTTTCCAAAACACATTTCAATCACGAATCTTTGAGCAATTTGCAAAGCCCGTGGATGGAAAGTTTACGCATACTTAAAAAGTGGTGTAACCAGGTGCTGCTTGGAGAAGCAGCACTTGGTTACACCACTTT